CAGAGGGGTAGCTGTGTTAGTCTGAATCTTTAAAAAGCAACAGAGGGTCCTGTGGCACCTTTAAGACTAACAGAAGTATTGGAGCATAAGCTTTCGTGGGTGAATGCCCACTTACTTATGTCTAGGTATCTCAGGATACCTAAGCTCCTTCCTGCTTAGATAGAAAAGCTTCCTTTGCTTTCTTTCTTTTTCTGAATGCTGCCCCAGAGGGGTGTTTTCTTCTTTCACTCATGACTGCTGTTCTGTGCCAGCTATAGTGGCTCTCAACACTCAATTGACGGGGACAAATAAGCAGGCTGGTAGCAGGGCTTGAGTGAGGGAAGATATCAGCGTCTTAAAGGTCTAACTGGCTCCTACTACTTCAGTTGACTGCCTGTTCTCCTCAAATGGGGTCAGGGAAGCAGCAGGAAACAGGGAGCTCCCTGAGAAGCTGGTGTTTATCAGCCCAGGCTCCTGGAGGTGGTAGAGGGGTAATAAGAGGCTCCTCCTTCTCTCTCTCCCTGCAGCTCCTGCTGCTTCTGTTATTCCCTCACACCTTTTCTCCTGCCTGCCTGTTATGTCTCTTGTGCCCTCCTTCCTCCAGCACAGCACTCCACCATCTCTGTGCATCTAGAGCAGAGAGAATACATATGCACCAACAGCAGACAGTTTTCTACACTCTGGGCCCTAGTGGCGCCCCCCTGACCCCCCAGTCTGGCACCTGAGGCAGCTGCCTCAGTTCGCCTCATGGTAAGGCCAGCCCTGAGGGAAGGAAGCAATCCTTCCCCCAAGCAGCACAGAGCTAGTGAATCCATTCTACAGGGGAACAGAAGGACCACATGGTCATGGACCTTCCCTCTCCACCCCCAGCTCGCATCTTGATCACTTCCAACCACACCATGCACTCCAACACACGCAGAGCGAGCCCACCATGGAAATGAACTCCATGTTTTGCAGGAGGCTCCCCCTGTGCCCTGCCTTCCTTTGGGCAGCTGTACCACACTGGTAAAGTGTGGGCAGGATTTGTCCTTTAATGAATTTCAGTAGCAAGGGTATAAAATATATAGCAACAGTATAATTTTTGCTGCATAGTTACAACAGCTGCAGCTTCTCTCAGTCAATGAAGGATGATTTCTCATGGTTAATATACTCTTAGATCCAGGGTTGCGTATTGCTTACTCTTCCCTCCTTTGGAAATGCAAAGAAAGGCAACCCTTATTGCCAGGTGTATTCAGAATAAAGTATGGGGGTTATCTGCTACTAACAGTCTACTAACTTCTGTCTTTCACGACTGTAGTGGTTTGAGGCAGGCCCTCCCTGTCAGTCTTGGAGTGAGGTCACACCCCCTCACTACAATTATCATAAAACTTATTTAAGGGCATGGTTTGTGGGAAACAACTTTTGTTTGTTTTTGGCAACATTTTATTTGTTTCAGAAAAATAACTTTTATCCATTGTTGTCTCTATGTAAGTGCAGAAGAAAAAAGACTACAGTATTGGGTCTTTGTAAACACAACAGAGCCTGCACCCAAAATACCAGAGTTCCTTATAACACTCACTGCTCACTCACAAGAGTCTACGAGTTCCATAGAAAAGTTGACTTTTATACAACATGCAGCCCAAACGATATAGGGCCTGATTTTTCCCCTTATTACTTAAAAAAATACTGTATTTGCCTACCATACAGCAAAAATAGGTAATCAGCCACCATATTAGTGACAACAGATGCAAATTTACAAACCATGGGTATAAAACTGTGATGCACTTTGGAATCCTTTGGCATTAAAGTCATTACATCAATATATAATTATTATTAGTAGCAGTAGTTTTGCCTGCCAGTTCTCATCTTACTTCAAATAGCAACTGAAAAATTCTCTTACTTATATCCCTCTTAAATTTTTTCTCGCTTCATTTTTGGTCTCATGAATGAATACTATAATTTGTTTCCCTGAACAACTTCTCTACACAATTCTTTTATGCAACTTATACCATATACTAGGAACTCACAATTTTGAATGCATTAAAATGTTTTAGGATACAGTTTGCCTGAAATATGAGTATTTAAATTGAAGTTACATTGTATCGTAAGCTGCCACCAACAATATTTTCCATAGGAAAATATACAACAGGTGTACAGAACACTTGAAAGGGAAACACCACAAAAATAGGAATTAGCTGAAATATTTCTTCAACTGTGACCCTTAGAAAAACTGCCAACATTTCAGATTAAAATACGCTTTAAGCAGCAGAGGGGAGAACATCAGATAGATGTTTTCTGTGCTATAAATATAAAGTATAGCAATTGTCCACTGCTGTGAGAATACAGTAGAAGATAGATCAAAGATGTCAACCACTATTATTTCAACACACAAGTGACTTAGAATTTACAGCAGTTATCCAGGAAAAAAGGGGACATGTGCTATACATCCTGATGGTGATGAACTCTTTTTGTGACTTATTCTCCAGGGCTTCCAAGATGTTTTTCCCTGAATGTTTAAATGTAAATTTCAGTTTCAGTTATGTAATATCTCCTTGTAAAAGATCTGTTTTACTAGAAGCATATATCATTTAGAGTCCTGGCTTAAACCCTCTTAAAACTGAAACATTCCCTTATGAATTATTTGCTTGCTCTGTACCATAAACAGGTTCAACAAAGAAATCCCTACTAATTAATTATATTTTAAAAGTCCAAAGAGGAACAAGATGCATATGAAACAATAAGCTCATCTCATGATCTTTCACTGTTGTCACCATTTTCCTGCTATCACTCTACTTCCTCCATATATTCCATACTTACATAAAGAGTAGGGTGACCAGACAGCAAATGTGAAAAATCAGGACGGGGGTGGGGGGTAATAGGAGCCTGTATAAGAAAAAGACCCCAAAATCAGGACTGTCCCTATAAAATCAGGACATCTGGTCACCCTAATAAAGAGTGTTTTTTACCCATTTTCCTCTGAAGTATGGGGTACTAACCACAGTTAGATAGGATACTGGTCTAGATGGACTACTAGTTTGAAATAGTATGACAGTTCTTATGTTCCTATATTCCTGTGAACTCCACCTATGTTTTCTCCTGTTACACTTATCTTAACTTAGATTGTAAACTGTGTAGAGCAGGGACTCCATCTATTGGTTTTGCACACCCTACACACATCTATGGCATTATTTATTACTTAAGTTCTTATTATACAAGTTCAACGACCAGAAATTGAATGTTAAATTCAAAATTTTAAAACCTGGTTTTCTTACAGATGCAAAAAATTGTGTGCACAAGCAAATTATGCCATGTAATAGGACATCTGTGTGACATCATTTTTGTCTGCACATAATTGCAGGTACATAATTTTCCCTTGAAAAAGCACACAGAAAGGGAGCATAGGTTATAAAAACTGGACCCTGACAAATAAATGAGAATTGCAGTCCCTGCCATGCAATAATTGTCTCCGTTTGGACCCAGACACAATCCCTATGACTGAGCCCTGCAGTCAGGCAAATACTTAAGGCTAAATTCTGCTCACAGCAGTGAGGTGCAAATGCCACACCCTCCCCCTCAGGATTTGTCCTTTAATTAATTTCAGTAGCAGGGGTAAGTACAGTACCGCCGCTGCTGCAGTAATTCAGAGCATTGCTCTGACTGCATGGTTACGTTGTCACTGAAATTTGACCCAGCTGCCCCTCCATCCAGTGAGCAGGAGAGTCCACTGAGAACTCAACCTCTGGCAGCATTGGCAGATCATGCGCTTTGTAGGTAAGAGATGGGAGACTGTCCAGACAAAGGATCCCTGAGAAAGATGTAGGGGTGGGGATTGGAATTTGCCCCCCACCCCCACCCCAAGAAATATCTGAATTGGCACTACTGGCTCACAGGGTTGTAAAAGTTTCACAGCAGGCTAGATATGATTTTGTCCCATCTACAGAAGCAAGAACAAATCATGCTGTAACATGATCAAATCTCAGTCAAAGTGAATGGTCTGGCTCAGTGATCACCCCCTGAGCATGATAGACTCAGACCTTTATGATGCTCAGGGATAAAAATGTGTAAGATATATGAATATACCTAAAGGCCATAAACACAAATATGTATTGGTTTGAAGGCTAATAGCAGTAAAACATTGCCCAAATGGAAAAATAGTTCCTAAGATTGTAGCAAGTTGTCTGAATCTGGCGGCTGAGGGTATTATACACAATCCAATTTTTGACTCAAGAGTATTTCTTTTCTGTACTGCCAATGGCCCCTGGACACAGGTCACTACTGATTATCCTTTTCGATTTTTTTAAAAAGTGCTAAAAATCTTCAGTGTAAAAAGCTACTTTATGGGCCCAGTGAGAAGTTCCCCTTTCCCTGCCCAAAACCAAATTATTAAGTTGTTATTGAGATGGTTAGGACAACGTTGCACACATTTGCCTCCTGTTGTTTGGAGAGCAGCCTGGAGTGCTATTGAAATTGTATTCCTATTTAAGGGGCAAGGTAACGTTATTCTGAAATGGACTCATGATTTATGACAAATATATTAAAAAACCCAAACAAAATAGTCTTCAGGACAACATCGCAGAAAGTGACCTCAAGCCAGTGTGGGAAGGAACAAATCAACAAAGAGAGTGACCAAGTATTCCCTCCATTGCTAACATTCAACCTAGCCAATAGGGTCAGGAACTTGGGCTGGCATACAGTATCTGATCACCTGTGGAAGCAATTTGTTAGTCCATACACCTCCCTCTCGTGCATGATAGAAAAGAGACAGAGAGATGTGTATGCTTTGAAAACAATTAACAAAGATTTATTAAGAAAATTGACAATAGCAGGGATAGGGGAATGATAACTAGAATAAACAACCCAGTACAAATGCAAGTGTGGCTGCCCCCAATTGGACGTGAAGCCCTGAGACCCGTACAACCCTTAACCTTGACTATATTTAAACTAAACAAAAGGAAAACACAAACTAAGCCAATACTGTACTGAGTCAGAGGTGACAACTTCAGGTAAGACAAAACAGCTGATGGTGGTGTATCTCGTTGTAGCTTGACAGCATGAGTTCCGAATTCTGGACCTCAAACCAAGCTTCACAGCCTGACTTGGGCTACAGGAGGGAGGAGCACAGGACCGTCAGCAAAGATCTACTGGAACCAGGATTGCAGATAAAGGTGTCGCTGGAATCAGGATATAGGTAGGTGTTATAGTTCGTGAGTGATGGAAAGTGATGTCTACTTGGGCGATGGTGTGGGTCCGGAGTCACTGAGGAGATCCTTGACGTCCGCACAAATCAATGTGATACCTGGCTGCTGCTCTGATGGAGAGCAAGAATGCTCAGGCACACAGCCCTTTTTATATGCTCAGTGGCGCGAACCTAGCCGTCTGAGCTGGTTCTAACTGCCCCCTAAGAGTCCGTTGCTCTTTTCCCACCACTAGTTTGAAAAGGTGTGAAAGTTCTGACAAAAAGGAGCAAAACATGGAGTCCGAGTTATTGTTATGGCACAACACCATCTTGAACCATGGACTCCATTGTTTTCTGTTCCATAATTAACTCATTTTATACTAATCATTACAGCAAACACATTAATTCAAACATAAACATTAACATCATTAAACATACAGTTGGGGGAAACTTCCCAACACCATCCCCATCTCTCCCTTTGATCATGAAAATTCTTAGAGTAAACCCCTAAAATAGACTTCATGTCAGATCCCAGGCATTCTAAAGTGAAATTTACAAAGGATACAGCTCTAAATGGCTTAGTATTAGAGATGTGGGTTAAGTAGAAATACTAGAACCAAACTGAACGGTGATGTAAATGGAGGTGTAAGTTACACATCAGGTTTAAGCAGGTCTGAAAATGGATGGTGATAAATGATATAAAATGTAAGTGGTTCAGCAGTGTAGTTTACATGCCAAAGGGACAGATGGGTTAGTGTAGCCAGAAGAATAACTCTCCAGAAGAAGTCAAATAAAGCAACATTTCTTACAACAACCAGGTAGTTAGTTGTCCATATTCTTCCTGTGCTGGGTTTTATTCTTCAAGGCTTTCAATCTGACAACTGTTACCAGTCCTAAATTGCTAAAAAGAAGGGCAAGACAGGGTAAACAGGATAAAAGAATACGAGAATGCAAAAGATACAGACAGAATACAGAAGTACAACAAAAGAAAATGAGTAAGTGGGAGAGGAGATACTTCACCTTGCTGTATCTAGATACTTCATAGGTCTCAGGAGATCTCACCAGGTCTGCATTTGAAGAATAGTATCCATCGGTGTGGCTCATGCCCACAAGGTTCTTTGCTTCCGTATCTTCAGTTTGTCTCTTGCCACCAGTCTGGGGGCCCCCCCTCCAACAGGGATGGGTCTTGGGCACCAGCGACCTACTTACTGTCCTAGAGCACTGTTGGATGAGGCTGAGCAGGCTGACCCAACAGAGCTGCACTTCCTGTCTGGCTACCACTGTTAAGAGGGCTTTCCCTTCACCCTCTCCCCTGGTTCTTGTCATGCAGAGAGAAAGGAGAATACCAGAAGTCTAAAGTGCAGGCAATGCGATGTTTATTGGGGTTAGTTCCCAGCAAACATGTATACCACAGTTCTATACGCCGGCAGAATCTGTTTCCCGGTGTTCCATTCCCAGCTCTGACGCCACAGAGCATTTACCCCGTGTCCCCTTTCCCAGCTCTGACACTGCAGAGCCTTGCTTATGTCCCTGTTTCCCATTCCCACCTCCTCCTCCTTAGCTGGCCCAAATATACCTGTAGTGTACACCCCTAGTCACACTCCTTACAGCTTATGGTCATGTTCCATTTTGGAGGGTCATGGGTCTGGGTCTTTATCCCACCTCTTTTGTATCCCATGGGAGGGGTAAGGAGTGAGGTTGTGTTCTGGCCCAGGCCAGGCTTTTCTTTGGCTTTTAGTGTTTCTTATGCCTCTCCCCCATCCCCCCGAACTAGTTGCTTGACCTTGGCTTGAGAAAGGAGCCAGGCAGCCTTTCAGTGTATGCTCATATATTACACGCCCACCATACCCTGTAACACTTTTAACTGCTCTATCCCTTATCTCTTCCCATTGTACTAAAAACCCCATCTGGTTGTGGGAAATGCAACACACAGTGTCTTTGTTCATTGTTCTTCACACATGTTAGTATAAGATATAAGAGTTTCAAAAAGTCAAACCCAAAATTCTCTCTCAGGCTAACAAACAGGCTTATATGCTAACCACCACCCCCCTCAGAAGAATCGACCCCATTCCACGCCCATGCTGAAAAAGCTGTAGAGGAATGGTGAAGCATACAACTTTCAGATCAGCAGTTTAGTGAGAGTTTTTGTTTACTATTGAAAAGTAGTGAAAGGGAAGGTGATCAAAGAAGGTAGTTGGCAGTTCCTCTCTCATCCAGGCTAAATATTTAGCTCTCACATCTCGGACAGCTGAGTTAAAATGGGTTAAAATTCTTGGGGTGGGGGAAAATGGAGTTTGCAATGGAAATAGAAAACTGTGCTTAATTATAAAGCTACATGTTTGATGCATGAAGTAGATAACATTGTATCTGGACTAGTTAACTTGTAACATGATTTATTATGGGACAAGTTTATCTCCTAATCCTGAACATGTTACCTAGCAATACAATGGAAATAAACCATATTTCTCCTCACCCACCAAAGGATTAGTTTAAACAGAGTCTGAAGCTTTAGTGCTAGACAATTATTTAGACTAAATTATCATGCATCTGGGTGAGATCAAGAAATCTTTTTTTTTTTTTTAACATATGGCACAATCAGGTTTTTTTTTTTCCCTCATGAAGGGATTTTAAAACACCACTCTGTGTCATCACTATAATTCAGGATAGAACCACTGTCTGAAGGCAGAAAGTCAGAGTCAACAATGTACATTGCTACCACTTAAATTCACAATCATGAACCATAACTATTTGTCTGGAATAAGTGAAAAATATCTTACTCAGGGGTGGCCAAAGTACAGTCAACCATTGCAATTGAATTTTCCTGATACCACTGAATTCAAGCATGTTTTTTCATGCTTAGAAACAATTTTCTACTAATGAAGAAAAATACAGAATACACACAAGGCACTTAAACAGTGTAATATGAAATAGTTTCTTGTTTTCCATGAGAGGGTCATAGCTGCTCAGGAAAAGATTTTGTGACTAATTTTTTTTTTCTCCAAGTAATAGGTATTATTTCTGTCTCCTCCTCCTATAGGAACAGCAAGGAAGAAAGGAGAGAAAGAAAAGCATAAAAAGTGAAGTTGAGAGAACAGTGACAAGAAAAAAAAAATCTTGATTTCCTCAGGAGAAGTAAAGGGGGGGAGGGGGAAGATCACTGGTCTATTATGGGAATGCCCTCTATTACGGAAGCATCAGTCTTGGGTCCATTTTTACGGCTGAGTTGTGCACTTAAATAAAGTATTCTAATACTATGGTGATAACAATGGTTTAAAAATACAGCTGGATAGAGTTTTTAGGTTCTTAAGAAAAGGTATGATTCAGATATTTCTTATCACTAGGCTTGGGAGGATTAGATTATCAGTAAGTGACAGTAGATGTTCATTTCACCATACATAAACATTAACAAAAATTTACATCTATAATAACCAAAAGTTTACAGATAGGCAAAATAAGAAACATGCTGCTTGAGAAGAGTTTGATTTAAGAATATTTATTTTGTATATTTTGACGTGGACAATTTGTGCTTTAATGGCAATAAAGCTTTAACTTTTTGAAATCTCAAAATCTACTGTCATGAAAGAATTATGGTCTGATCTCACCTATTGCCTGACCCCTCCTCCCCGCCCCAATTTCCTGCAACTGAAAATTTAAGTTAATAAATTTTTTAAAAAATGTTTTAAACTAAACATTGATATGTCAAAATTATAAAAAATAAAAATTGAATTCTGCTAAGCTATTTATAACACAGCCTTTCAAGATCTGTTTCAACACTTTGGAGGCTCTAGAATTCTGATTGTATGTTACTCATATTTCCATTATTTTGACTCGTGTACTCTAGAATTAGGATTCACAACTTCAACTCCCAAACCAGGAGAGGCATTCTTGTCACATATGTTGACTCAGTGTGAAGATTAAAAACATTGAGATGATTTCCTCATTCCCCCACAATCTCGTGTTGCAGGGCTGTGCAGGAGTATTGGCAGAATTTGAGTTCTAGACCCATTTTTGTCCCACCATTACTGCAAATTCCCAGGTTTCCTTTACCTCCCCCTCTATATCCTAAAAGCTACCTCAGGAAATGGAATGCGATTCCCCTAAATCTTGTGTGATAGTACTCCTGAAATTCTAGTGACACCTCACAGCTTCAACTCTAGCAAGTAGCTCCAAAAACCCTCTACAATCACTGTCAGAAAAAGAAGTTACCTAGGGTGTTTATATGATCCACATCACTCTAGTATCTGAGCATCTCATAATCCTTAATGAGGTAGGGGTATACTATTATCCCCATATCACAAAGGATACTGAGGCACAGATAGGCTAAGTGACTTGTTCAAGGTCTCTCACAGTGGAGAGCAAGAAACTGAACCATAGTTTCCCCAATCCTAAACTAGTTTCCCACCCAGTGGGCCTTCCTTCCTCTGGACAGTGGCTCTTTTACCCTCACTCAGAGGTTGGGAAAGTGGCAAGGCATTATCTGAGCTGGTGGGGCTTGGGTAAGCCATTGGCTTCTCTATAAACCCTATCCTTCCAACTTGAGCCCGCTCTCAAGCCCGGAGTAGCAGCTGCAAGGAGGTAGAGGAGCTGCTGTTTCTGGAATACAGACATCTATTTTATTTCCCTGTCAATTTAGTACATTTCCACCCCTGTTCTCCTCTCATGAGTCTTGCAAGGCATCAGACTGGTAACAATTTGTCCAAGGTAGCCACTTGGACCATCTTTTAGTCAGCTAGCTTTATTTGAACATCAGATAGTAGTTGGTTCCATGGAAAAGTTATAACTCTTTGACACACCTTTTAACAAACGGTCTTGGCTTGTGCCTTCTCATTTGATTCTCACATATCTTGGCTGGATCGTGGGGCCAGAGAATAAAGGCAAAATCCCTCCACTTCTGTACTAAGTGCAGATATCAAAAAACTGCATTATTTGAAGTACGTTACAATTCTATGAAACTGTTTTAAATGTATTTAGTTTACTAAAGTCAGGGTCAACATGCAGTTCACGTTCATCTCAAATTTAAAGCAATCCCAATGCTTTGAATCTTCATAATCTCCCATTAATTCCTGGGGTTTGTGTGTGTGTATTTAACAGGTGATTTTATTGTAAAGTGGTACTTTAAAAAATAGCAGGGAAGATAACCCTTTTATTCCAAGATCACAAGTTGCTCCATCACTGCCAGGCTCTTCTATTCCTATGAATAAAGTCAGAGCTGAGAAGGGGAACAGGTACTGCTTTTTCAGTAAGGATGTATGCTAGAGTTACTGAGGTGGTAACAAATAATATAGTATAATACTAATATATTAGGCCAACAAAAAGCTGCAAAACATGACAAGTCATCTTACATCTTGGAATATAAGTGATGTGGTTGCTGCATTTATACGAGTCTGATCTACATTTGTATAGTTTGTCTGTACCATTTGTAAAGTAGAACTGCTAGTTAAAAGAATCTCACCCTCCTGAATCTCTACCAGCTTACTTTTTCCTAATACCGATACCAGAAAACAGAAGTAATTTTAAACTGACAGGCTTAATCTACCTGCATACCAAAGATTTTAACCTCTCCCTTCAAGTTTACCCATCATACTGGATGTGAAGCCAACAACTAAGCAGAGGAGTTTCAGATTCCTAACAGTGAAAAAGCTACTACTATTTTAATGTTCAGTTTTAAAGATTTGTCTCCAATCATTTAGAAAGAGTAAATGGAGTATGAAAACTGATTACATGTTGTAAATGATAGTAACCTGAGATTTATTACAAAGTTACCATGCTACACTCAATGCAATTTTTAAAAAAAGTCTGATTTCAAAGAATTACATTCTTTAAAATGATAAAAAAAATAAAAATTTCACATACTTCTATAGTTTAAACACTGGACATTTTTCATCTGTAAAGCTGGCCTCACATGCAACAATCTTCTGAAATGAAATTCATGGATGAAACTGTACATAGTCCCCTCTATGAAATTTGAGGGAATACGGATCATGGAACAATGTTAACAAGTCCCTTTATTTACAGCAAAGTCTCTATCAAATTGATACTTGTTAGATATCTTTAGACTGGTCATCTTCTTCTAGTTTCCTGATTTCACTCTTTAAACAGTTGATAGTTTCACGACTTGCTTTTAATCTCTCTTTAAGCTCAGCAATTTCAAAACTGGTTTTCTTTTTGGCAGCTTCCAGCTTTTCCCTGGTTTTTACTTCAAGATCTGCAACTGGGATAGTGACAAAGAAAAAAATATTTTTAGTGCACTGCAAAACTGCAATTACTCAATATAATATTCAAAAATTCAAAAAAGGTAACGGAGGGCAGAATCTGTTTCACAAAATCTTCACTACTGGTAATGCATGGGCCCTAAAATAATCCAGAAGGACCTTCAGATCCCATTTTGGAGTTTGCATGGCTGAAAGTTGTGCTCCTATTCCCTACCAGGTGTAAAAAAAAGCACCTTGCCCTCTATGCCTTGCCACAATAGTTATTCTACATGTCTCAGAAACTGCAGCATTGAAATACCGTAAATTCCAACTTTTTAGCTTATGCACAAAAACATTGTGAGAATGTTACTTTCCCCACTTCTCACTTTTGGGGCTGGCAAGGCAACAGAAATCTGACTAGAACACTGGCACTCAGCTCCACCGCAAACATATCACCCCTCCCATTTGTGGGATATTGAACAGCCCATGCTCCAGGAAGATCCTACTCTTATCTGCTTCTACAAACATATTTATGAGAAAGGAGAATAAGGAAACACCTCTAATACTCTTGCTGTAGAGCAATAAATCACTTCTATCCATGCCTAGTAGAAACATGTAGCCACTTTAGTTAAAATGTAAAAATTTGACATGCTCAAAAGTAAAGTCATAAAACATTTTCTATTGTCCAATTAACAAAGTAACAAGCTACAAATACAAAAAATAATCTTCAGTACTTTTGTGAGATAAGTATTTTACAAATGAGGAAACCGATGGACATTATTTCCACGGCACAGATGATAAAACTAAGGCAGGAAAGTCAAGCGATTTACCAAAGTTGAGACAGCCCTACAGTGCCAACGCTGAGATTAGAATCCAGCATTTTCTGGGTTTCAAAGCTATATGTACTCCCTTAGTCCTTGGTTTTAGGCATCTCAGAAGTATCTTAAGTAATATAATTTGCTGACAATACTCAAACAAGAGGGGTAACATACAAACAGGAGGACAGAACCAAAGTGTAAGTGGCCTGGAGAGATTAGAGCAGTAAATTGTAGACAGCAAGGTGAGATTTGGAATGAATATATATTAAATCCATGCTCTGGGTATAGGAAATCAGAAAATTGATTCAAAATCTGAAGGAGGGGAATATAAGCCAAACAGCCACACCAGTCAATATTAATAAAGTTTATTTTCATTTTATCTCCTTAATGCCCTCAACACTTAGTTCACGTAAAGAAAGCATTACAGTTGCAAAGAAAACAATTAGGAAAGAGGTTGGATAGGGAGGTGACTCTCAAAAGTCTGTTATCTTAAGAAATGGCCTACAGCATGAAAGTCTGAGAACTTCATTTAGAAAACAAGTAATGGTAACTATTCACTCCATCCCAAAATAGCTGCTGGCTTCAGGAAAAGGTGTTAGTATTGAAATATTTAATGTTAATATTTCAACTTTAATCTCCGAGTTCAGATGAGATGAACAGGGGAAGTTCACACCTCAGATCTATAGGGCAACTTCATTCCTTGTGTTATTCTCAGACTTCATGTAATTCCAGTGAAGGATAAATATTTCTATCAGCCTTCATACAGAATTATTCAGAAGTAAACAATAATTGTGAAAAATGTACAAATCTGAAACCTTTAGATCTTAAAATTAGTATAATACTCTTGCACATTAATAGAGCTATGTCTGTAGAGATACAAGATGTTTTTCAAAAACAGAGCTCTTTCCACATACAAATTTCACTTTACAGCAGCAAAAAAGGATAATTAAACATTAATGGTTAATCTTAACTTCTAAAATTCACGTGTAGCACTAGAATTGTTATCAGTTGGCACTTACACTCTGTTTCATGCTTATAAGCTCCTAGAGTTAGCTGACGAGATGTTGTCAAAAGCTGCTGCATCATAGCAGTAGGATCTTGAAATATCTAAGAGGAGAAAAATACACACCTGTTATCAATCTCACTAGTTAAAAACAAAACCTTTAACATGTTCTCTTTTCTTACCATCTCATCATAAAACTCGGATACTACAGTTTTCTTTCCCAGTATTGCATTGGTGTCAGACTGAAACAGCTTCAGCAAATGATATAAAGTTACCTGTGCAAGGAAAACAGATAGACCTGAATAAATGTAATATCACTTTAAGAAAAAATAAGTGATACACCCAAATGGAATTAAAACATTCATTGATCTTTTTGCTGTGT